CTCAGTCTCCCCCTGTCACAGCTGGTGCAGCTGTGTGGTCAGGACTGCTCCCTGCCCTGGAAACTCACAGGGCGCCGGAAGAGCTGAGCCGTGTGAGTGGCCGAGGACAGAGCTGGGTCAGCTCCTGAAGCAGTGCCCATCTGGGGGCGCCTGGACCCAGGGCCCCTCATATGTGACCTTAAGTCACATGTCCCACAGAGCTCAGGTGCTGACCGGGGCCTCTGCTCCACAGACGCCCTTAGGGGCCAAGGGCAGGGACTTCCCATGACCCAGGCTAACAAGCAGCCTGTTGCCCAGCTCCCTGCACCCCAGGAATGGCGTCCCCACCCCACTCTGCTCTCACTGGTGTCACCACAAATTCCCGGTGAGGCACACAGCTCTGGCCAGAGTCTCCGAGTCTCCAGGAGACCCTATGCCCAGGAACCTTGAGTAGGCGCATGGGAGACCCAGGGAGACCCGGGTTCACCCCCAGGGCCTCGGGCTCTTCCTCTGAGTGTGTGTGTGTTTGGGGGAGGGTGGGGGACACCTGCGGAGCTGGGGCGCACGAAGGGTCTGAGAAAGGCTAGAAGGAGTCAGCGGGTGGTGGCCAGGGTAGCAGATGCAGAAGCAGGCACACGACAGGCCCCAGATGGCCTCTCACTCTTGCGCGTCGGCCTTCCCGCCACAGGAACAAGCAGAGCAGGGGTCTTGACAGCTCCCGTTAGCGAGGGAGCCCAGGGGTACTGCAGCTGCCCTGGATGCCTGGGGTCTGACCAAGTCACCTGCCCCCGCCTGGGGCCCGGGTGCAGGAACATCCCCAATAGGCGTGTGCACACCACTCATTTGTTCTCCTGGTGCCTGAGCAGACCAGGCAGCCATCACTGTCCTTTAGAGCTGGCCCATGGGGAGAGACACCTGCCACTGTAACCCGGGTCTCCATGTGACCCGGTGCCTCACTCAGGTGTGTGGCTGCTTGCACACTAGACACCCAGGGTCCTCACAGGACGCACAGGGGCTCTGTCCCCTGAGGGCCACAGCACTGCCCACATGGAGCACAAAGGCCCCGCAGGTGCTGAGCGGCAACTCCGGCCTCCACCCCCCACCTGCAGCTGACCCGGTCATCCCGTTCCCAGGCATTGCCCACCCTGGGGGCAGGGTGCAGTCTCCGAGACTCGGGGTTAGAGGATTTCTTAGCAAGGTGGGCTGCTTCCCCAGGGCAAGTGACCCAGCCCCAAGCTCTCTCCCAGCCCCTGGCCTCCAGTCACCACACACACCCTTCACCACTGCACCAGGACAGGAGAGGCACAACTGTCAACGGTCACACTCCGCGATGGCGGAGGCAGAGCAAACATCCAAGTGTGTGCACCCATCCCCAGCGGAGGGGGGCACATGAGTGTGTGCACCCATCCCCAGCAGAGGGGGGCACATGAGTGTGTGCACCCATCCCCAACAGAGGGGAGCACATGTCCAGACAGTGATGTGGACTGGGGATGCATGGCAGGAAGCTTTCAGAGCAGAACACTGGGCTGCAGGCTGGTGGACGCTTTATGAGAATGGGTTGGCCTTTAGGGAGATGGAGAGTTCTAGAATATACACAGGTGATAGACGCACCACAACTGTCTGTTCTAATAAAACATGAGATATGAGAATGTTACCTGCATAAAGCAGATACAAATCTGAGAAAACAATAAAAACCAACTTTTCAAGCCAGGCGGTGGTGGCGCATACCTGTAACCCCAGCACTCAGGAGGCAGAGGCAGGTGGATCTCTGTGAGTTTGAGGGCAGCCTGGGCTACAGAGGGAGAGCCAGGCCAGTTACACAGAATAACTGTCTAAAAAAACCAAAACAGACAACAACAACAACAACAACAAAAACCCCACCTTTTCTAAAGGTTGGTGAAGACAGACGGGACAGCAGCCCATCCCCAGAAGTCTCTTGGCTGGGCATGCTGTCCTGGCCCTCGGGAGGTTGAGGCAGGAGGACTGCCTGTGTGCTTGAGGCCTCCTGAGCTAGAGTGAGAGTGTGGAGAGAAACAGGCTGGCCAGAGGGCTCAGCAGGGGGAGGCCGGCGGCAGAGTCTGCACACCTGAGCTGCAGCCCTGGGACCCACATAGTGGAAGGAGAGAATTCACCCCTGCATGGTGGCCTCTGACCTGCACATGCACACCCACACATACATGCACACACACACACACACACACACACACACTGAGACAAAGACAGACACAGACACCAGACATAAGGAGACAGGTGGGGTGCAGACAGGGCTCCTGAGTCAGTGCTCACCGTGGCATTGGAGGGCCTGGGCCTGCGTTTGGCCCGACCACCTCTAAGTCCGGCTCCAGAGCGTGAATGTCCTCTCTGGCCTTGGGCGCCCACACACATGCACAACCCCACACAGACACACATTAGAAATAAAAAGTAAATCTTTAAGAAAAAACTACAGCTTTGGGGGCGTGGGGCCACCTGCTGCACCTAACAGCTGAACTAGGAAGGAAGCAAGGCCCAGTGCTAAGCAGGAGGCTGAGGCAGGGGAATGCTGTCCCCGACCCGTGGCTCTGGACTCCCAGCTGCACACAGCGCCGCCTGCTGGACAGGTGTCTCCACCCGCATCCTCAGGGCTCTGTGCAGGGCAGAGGAGATGGCTCACTCCAGAAGCAGGAATCATGGGGCCTCCGGGTATCTGCTACTCAGGGGTCCTCAGAGGACCTTGAACCCTGCTCCTTCTTCATGACCCAGAACAGAAAGTTCAGAAGCCTGGGCATCAGACTCTGAGAGAAACTGGGAAACATGTGCGCCTGGACCTGGACAGGACCCCTTGATGACTGACCAGTCTCTCTCCCTCTCACTCCATTCTTGTTGCTAGAGCCCAGATGGACCTCGAACTCACGACCCTCCAGCCTCAGGCTCCCAAGGCCTGTGTCCTGCCACCCCGTCCCGGCAGGCCCCACCCCCACAGGGCTCTCCTAGACTTCTCAGGAGGAAGAGCAGAGGGACAGCCTGGGTCCTTCCAAGCCCCTGAAGGCACAGGCCTGTGATCCCAGCTACTGTGGCAGTTGAGACAGGAGGATTACCAGTTCTGGGCCAGCCTGGACAACTACTAAGATCCTGTCTCAAAATAAAAAGGAAGGGCTGTGGGGGTGGCTTCCTTGGGGACCAGAGCTCAAAACCCCAAGACTCTCACAAAGGGCCAGGCCCTGCTGAACACACACACGCATGTCAACTTCAGTGCTTCCAGAAACTGAGGCAGGAGGATGGCTGAGGCTTCTTGGCTGTCAGCCCAACTCCAGGCAGTGAGACCTGTCTCAAGGGAACAGACAGTGGCAGGGTGGGGGGCGTGTCGGCCTCTCCTCTGGACTGTGTGCCTGCACACACGCATGCACACCACACACACACTTTAAAGAAGGCTTAAGGGAATAAATGGGCAGAGAGATGGCTCAGTGGTAAAGACCACAGGCAAGGGAGCAGGCTTGGTTCCCAGCACCCAGGTGAGGACCTGTAACTCCAGTTCTAGGACACGGCGCCGCCTCAGGCCTTTATGAGCACTGCATGCACAAGGTATGCACATAGACAAGCACACACAGACACAAGCGCACGCGCGCGCACACACATACATAAAATAAAAATAAACCTAGCAGCCTAGCTTAGGGCTCAAGAGACGGCTTGGTGGAAAGAACACTGGCTGCTCTTCCTGAGGAGCTGGGTTCAGTTTTCAGCACCCATAAGGTAACTCACAACTGTCTGGAACCTCAGTTCCAGGGGACCCCACACCCTCTTCTGGTCTCTCTCAGGCACAAATGTGGTACCCAGACATACATGCAGGAAAAATATCCATACAAGTAAAATAAAGATAACAAACAAAAAGTCCATACACACACCTAAAAAAAAAAAAGGAAAAAAGCGAGGGCACCACGGTTAGGGGCGGGGCATCTGAGTGAGGGGCTGGGGCACCATGGTCAGGGGCGGGGCATCTGAGTGAGGGGCTGGGGCACCATGGTCAGGGGCGGGGCATCTCTGAGTGAGGGGCTGGGGCATGGTTCGTTGCTAAGCTACTGTCTAGCATGTGCAAAGGCCCTGGGCTCCATGCCCAGCACCAGAAAAGGAAACACACCAGTACTCCTACAGCTCACACTTAGCCTCCGACCCTCTAGTACAAGGAAGCAGAGGCCTCGTATTGGCCAAGAGAATACACCCTTGACACCAGCCACAAGACCTTGACCCACAAGACACACTGGGCTAAAATCCCTCAAGTACCAAGTACACCCTGGAGATATCCTTGGAGGAACCCCATTAATATCTGCAGCACTTGTTGGGCGTGGTCACGGCCCACGACTTTAATCCCAGCACTCAGGAGGCAGAGGCAGGCAGGTCTGGGTTCGAGGCCAGCCTGGTACACATAGCGAGTTCCAGGACAGCCAGGGCTACACAGAGAAATTCTGTTTCAAATAACCAACCAACCAAACAAACAAACAAATAAACAAAATAGCCAATCCAGCCCCAAGAGAGCCAGAGCCCCCAAAGCCCCTTTCTCTCCAAGCCTGATCTCCAGACCCGGGGGTGCTGTCTGTTCTAGGTGATTCTTCCCTGGGGAATCACACTCATTCAGGCTGCAGGAAGGAGCTGGGATTGGGGTCCAGCAGCCAGAGGAATGAGGTCATCTCTCACACAGGACAGGTAGGGGACCTGCTTCCCACCATCTGCCCTGGACTAGGGAGCGAATATGGGGTGGGGCCATGGAAGGAAGGACACTTCTCCATGGGTTGGTGTCAGGGGATGGGTGGGCAGGGTGATCTGAGGGCTCTGCAGAGGACAATGGCTTTGAATCCGGGACAGAGGACGGAGGGGCCTGGGCTTTCAGATCTGAAGGGGCATGTGGTGGGCTTGGGGACAGACTGCCTTGGCCTTCTGGCCATGTCTCCCCTGGATGAGACCTGGTGCTGGGTGGACCACTGAGTGTCATGTGGCAACTTTTGTCCCACAATCCCATCCACTGGGACCCCCGTGCCCCGACCCCGCACAAGGCCGTGTCTGAGACTCCTGGGCTCTGACTGCAATTTTAAGAGGGTGACTCAGACCCGGGAATTCAGTTTGGACGTAGGGAGTGTCTGAGGCAGGGGGACTTAGATTTGGAAGTCAACAGGGTGTAAAGGAGTGGTTGTAATTGTAGAGTTCTGAGTGATCAGCATGGGGGCGAATGCCCTAAATTTGGGGTAACATAGCTCAAAGGGGTAAGCGGGCCGAGGTGGACCGGACGAGGTCACTGGGTACAGACGGCTCTGGGGTGAAGGGCCTCACCTGGGCTGTGTGGCTTCGGTGGGAGCAGGAAGGCGTGAGCAGGGTTTGGGGGTGCACGGAGCTAGGGGCTGGGGTGACACGGCAGGACCTGACCTGGGTCCAGAGTAACAACATCGCCCTGGACGTGGACAGTGCCCTGCTCAGAACCGGGCTCCGGGGAAGGAGGGAGGGTGGTGATGGACAGGGCGAGGTCAGGGCGAGGTCGCCGGGTGTGGGCGACCCGGGGTTGGGGTGACGCGGGGCCTGACCTGGGATCAGGGTGCATTTGCACCCCGGGGTCCGGGGAGCCGCGCGGGCGGAGCCGCGGATCGGGGGAGCAGGGCTGGGAGCGCGGCTCCGGGGATGGAGGCTCCGACAGACGCTGCGGGGTCGGG